AGAAAAACGCATTGGTGGATAACTAAAAATACAGAAAAACACATTGGTGGATAACTAAAAAGACAAATAATACAGAAAAACACATTGGTGGATAACTAAAAAGACAAATAATACAGAAAAACACAATATTGGTATATAGTGATAACGTCACCTATAGTGATAGCGTCACCTACTGGCAACAGGAAGTAAGCGCTGCATGGCAATTTTGATCTGATGTACGTGAAATTTTCATGTTGTGGTCCACATGTGTTACGACGGCACGTGACACGGCCGCAGCACACCCCGCCTATTGTGAGGGCCCGTTCACCACCGCTTGCAGCTTTATTTCTATTTGAAACTTCTCTGATATGACCATGACGTAACCAGTCTCAGTACGACTTCATTGTTTCTACAACACTGGCTACAGCCTCGGTAATGAGGAGTTTATGTCAGAATTATTAGAGTTCCCACTCTTTTTAGAAAATCACTTTCCAAGAGTTTTTCTTGACAAAACCTGCTCTCCAAAGGTCTACAACCTAGTATATAAACCTAGCGTTGACAGATTTAACCAGTTTTATTTCCCATTATTTAATGATGCAGGGTTTATGATGAAATCTCTCAAAATTTATTACAGGTAGGTGGTCAGCGTTTACTACACACTTGGCATAGGTCACTTTCATGGCATGATTGGCTGTTCTCACCACAGCGATAATTTTTCCACTGTGTTCACATCAAGTAGAATTTATTTCATTTTACAAAATGATTTTCTCACCTGATAGCCCATTAAAATTAGAAAAAGAAAGTGAAGGGTGCCCAGTTATCTCACCTGGTAGAGCTGGTGACCATGTACCAAGTTGCTGTAGCAGCCCAGGGTTCGAATCCGACCTCCACGCCCTTGCGTGTCATCCCCTCCCTTTACCCCACTTTCCTGTCTACCTTCAGCTGTCACTATCAAACTGTATTTGCCTAAACCTAACCAAACTGCAACCGTTTCACTACATTAAAAATGCAAGCTTAATTTTGAAAGTAACTGCCCCGGAAGTTGTAGACATTGCTTAAATGTTGCGAGAGGGATACCTACAGCATAATACTTTGAAGCTGAGGGCCACTGACCAAGCTGTAGTATTCCCAACCCCTCTGATTTATCTGGTGACCCCTAGTTTGTAAAACAACAGGACAAAAATGCCTGTATCTAAAGGAGAAAGGTTTGATCTAACAACACAATCATATAAATAAACAACAAATTGGATTAATGTAAAACTTCCTCCGTAGACACCACTCAGGCCGCTTTGAATGTGTGCTGATGATGACACTGATCATTTAGGGGGAAAAAACATGTTTAATACCTGTTGTAACCAAATTGTAAATCTTTAGAGCAGCTGCCTAGTTGGAGATCAATAAACAAGAAAATAACATCTGATTTATTTTGCTACGATTTACTGCAAAGCAGCATGAGGTAAACATTTTACAATAACGAGGCCAAAACATTTCCTCATCATATTACATTGAAGTCTCATTGTATTAACCACCAGGTGCATTTGTAGCCAAGATTGCCCGTCCCCAGAAGCGAGCAGGAGCCATCCAGTTCAGCCCCCAGGCAGTGGTGGGCCAACACCAGGGCCAGACGTGCCTCATGCTACGAGCCACCAACCTGCTGCAGCGAGCCCTGGTGGATGTAAAGGTGAGTGCTGTGCTCTATGAGGAGCATGAAGGTCAGGCCCTGCACCAGACCTCTCTGGACTTCCACTTGGATCATCTAGGCCAACAGCCCTGTCCCTTCTTCATTTTCCCACTCACCTTTTACCATCCCCTGGACCGCAGCAGTCCCCTCTACCCTGCCCTGTGTGAGGGCATGTCCAATCACTTTGAGTTGGTGGTCTTCCTGTCAGCTTTGCAGGAGGGAACTGGCGACTCCTGCCAGAAGAGGACCTCCTACCTGCGTCAAGAAATCCAGTTTGACCGTCGCTTTGTCCCCGCCTTGGTGCTGGATGCTCGGGGGAGATACATGGTGAACACCCAGCACTTTGACACTGCCCACTCAAAGGAGCCTTTGAACAAGGACTGTGTGGTGCAGATCAACGGGGATGGCAGTGACAGGATGGAGTAAGGAGGCTGAAGGTGAGGTCTCATAGGGACAGCGGGAGCTTCAGAGGGATAAGCGGAGAAGGTAATAATGGAGCTGATATTTTTGTGAGGAGGTACTTGTTTAATCCTAAATTCAGATTTCATTACCAAATCAAATAATTTGAAATTAAAATGTATGTCAGACATGGGTGCTGCAGCTCTTCCATCCAATCACTTTGAGTCACAACCAGGGTATGATCCCCCACTGGCTTCCCACCCATCAATATACGCAGTTGGTTGGAATGCCTGGCCAGCAGGGGGCACCACTTCTGGGAATTGTGTGGGAACAAATGCTGTTATTTACAAGTTGGGTGTTATTTTTGTCGCTCTGGCCATTGGTTCTATCAGTTTTGATAACATTATGATAACATACTCGGCAAGTTAATAGCTGACATCTCACAACATGGCTATATCACTAAAAATATATTTCCAGTGGGGCAAGAAACATCGTATTTGAATGGTAAAAATGGCTGTCTGTTGTAAACAACTGTCACAGTACAGGCCCACTTTCTGCTTCGACTTTGACCTACTGTACTTACTGTAGTTGTTTGCACCAATGAGGGATTATTAGCCAGATTATGCTTGTTCTCACTTTACTTTTAAATAAAGTGGCAGCTAATTTGGCTAGTTTGTTTGTCATCTGCAATGTCCCTGCATTCTGGGATCTCAGCTTGCTGAGTGCAATGTTATCAGACATACCTGATAGAACGGATGCACAAAGTTACCAAAATAAGAACCCCTGTTTTCTTTTAAATTGAATCAAAATGAATTATATTTTTCTTACTATAGTGTAAGGTTTTATAACTGGATCGATTATGATGAAGCTATATTTGAAAATATTTAGTTAATTCTTTGGTGGCACAATCCATTTTAAATTCAGTTCCTGTAATCAAACCTTTATCATAAACACTGAATAAAAAGCTCTAAAGCCCTCAACAGAAAGACACACAGACAAGCTGGTGAACACAGTGGAGACCACAAAGGTAAAAGAGTGTAAATGTTGAACTTACATTCATCAGGTGGACAACTCCACATTAATGACAAAGTTGCTCAGACTTGTAAGATGATAATGTGACAGTTATGTGTCCCAAAGTGGCCAAAATAATGATAAATTGTAACTTTAAAGGTCTAGTGTGTAACATTTTCGGAGCATATGCTGACAGAAATAGAGTATAATATTTATAGGTATGTTTTCATTAGTGTATTATCAGCTGAATATTCTCATATTAGAATCGTTGTGTTTTTGTTGCTTCAGAATGAATTTCTACAGTAGCCCAGAATGGACAAACCAAACACTGGCTCTAGATAGGGGCATTTTTCATGAGTTTTGTGGTCACTTTAATTTAAACTTTGTGGGTAAAGCTAAAATGAATTCTTCCATCACAGTTTGAACTTGAAATGTGTACCTTAATTTATTGAAATTCAGTTTGATCAGTTCAGTTTCACAAACAAATGAATTTTCTAAACTTCACATACAAGTTAAGATTTGGATTATGTATGGTGTATTAATTTCAAACTCTGAACCACAAATTTTGATGTATTACATTCAAACTTAATAAATATATGCCTGTAGGTTAAGAGGTAGTGTGTAAGACTACTAAAGGGGTAGAACCAGTTATGACATGAGTAATGCTGAATTGTAATTACAAGGTTGGCACCAGGCAGATACAGTGGTGGTACTGATAAACGTTTCCATTTTCCATAAGAAGCACATTACAGTGGATGGATGGATCAGGAAACCGCCTTGACCACTCCCACTTTTGAAACATTTAAAGGACAATGACACCATACACAATCCCATAGTGTTTTACATTGTTGAATGTGTTTTTCTTCCTTCCAGACAGTCACTGCTTTCAGTTCATGTCACTTCACTGTGACAATCATCTTATACACACATGAAACATCATGTCTCCTCTCACTGTAGTCAAAGTCATGGTGTTGTTGGTAATGCATGTCAAACCCACTGGCTGTCTGAAATACAAGAGACAACACTGAGTCTGCAGCTGTGCTCATGCCCCCATCTGCACAATGATGTTTTGAGTTAAATGTTAATGTAAGCATGCTCTCAATGACAATGGTTCAATCCAAATGTCCACTGTCTGGACTTATAAGTTGAGCCCTCTCGGACACTTGTCATTTTCATATGCACTGTCATCACATTGTGTCTGCATCTGGCTTGAGAGGTGAAAAAACGAAAAAAAGACGGAACTGATGTTGTAACAGAGATAGAGGGAAAGGGTAAATAAAAGAGCTGTCGTCAGTTTACTAAATGATGGAAGACCCTTAAAGGAAAAGGTTGGTAACAACTGCCTTAACATAACAATGCTGTTGTCACTATGAATGGATAGTATTGCAAGATTGCCTATTTTAGTGACCAGTCAACATTTTACTGATATCTTCAGTAGCAACAGGTACGTTAAAGCTGCAGTAGTTATTTTTTATGAAATAATGTTTTGTCATATTTGTTGAAACTTTCGCGACAGTAGTACATGTTCCTTATGACATTTGTAAGAATCCACCATGCCTGAACAAAAAAAAACAACAAAACAATCAGAGCCAAGAAAGACAGTTCATTGTTGAGTCTCATTCCCAGGTTACTTTTGGAGACTCTAACTGTATTTGACGACCTGGGAAGAATAACCTGATTTTTTTTACTACTGTCAGGATATAGTAAAGCAAATATGACAAAGAACAATTTTGTAAGTTACCAACTGTAGTTCCAATTAACAACATTCCCTTTTACGTTAATAGATAGGGGACATGGCTGCATCATTTTAGCTTGGTGTGTTAGCATGCTAATATTTGCTAATTAGCACTAAACACAGTACAGCTGAGGCTGATGGAATGTCATTACTGTTGCAGGTCATAAACCAAAGTATTGGACAAAGTGAAATGTTGTTCTCATGAATGGACCACAAAGGTATGTGTGATACATCCTGAGGAGAACATGAATGTCTGTACAAATGTTCATTGAAAACCATCTAATAGTTTGTGAGATATTTCAGTCTGGACCAAACAGATGGACCAAGCGACCAACAGATAAACATTAAGAAAAATTGTTTCATGGCATTTGATAGTTAAATTGCTGTAGTTTAACAATGCATTACACCAGTGGATTTTACTGTTTGATGATACTGAGGTGAAGAGAATTATTGTAAGCACAGAATGCATTTTAAGTGGGAAAGCCTTAGTGCCAACCCTGTAAGACTGAATATAGAATCAGTAGGTATGGAAGGTATATTGGATATGTTAAAAGAACAATAAGGAAGGGACAGAATGCAGTGACAACAGAATGCAGTCTTGTCTGTCATCTCTATAAAAGGCCATTCCTATTGCTGATCAATGACTTCTTTTACTGATGTTTGTGGACCAGCAACAGAACTGAAGGATTACACTGTGGACAATCAACATGAGCTGACAATCACAACAAACCACCAGATGGTTGTAATTCCACTGTCAATATTAAGCGGCTACTGTTATTCAGTGAAAGTCTTTTGGAACAAAGACATCCATGTCTTAAAGTGAGCTATCTAACATTAGACTGACCTGCATAAAATGATATATGGCTCAGTAGTGACTGATAGAATGTTACTGTCTGCTGATTTAATGGTAGATTAATCCCTTTATATTGAAAAAATCATTGCCTAAATCATTACTCAAAGCAGAAATTAATGTATTATGTTCAATTTGTACAATAATAAATGTCTCTAGATTCAGCAAATAAAGTTAGGAGGTTAGAAAGTATAAATGTTGTAGAAAATATGTGTTTGTATTTGGAGTATTTTCCCTTTAAAGGCTGTCGATATGAAGAGCATCAGTGTGTTATCTATATGGTTTACAGAAATCATGTTGCAACTTCAGACATAAGTGAGGAAATGTTCCACAAAATGTGATTGTGAAGGATGAGATCTCAATGTATCTCACATGCTTTAGTGCCTTTGTACAGTGTACATTACATGAAATAAATATTTTCTAAACAAGCTTGGAGGTGACAGGACCATTACTTCATTTAGCTTGAGTGCCTACATCACAGTTACCATAGAGCTTCCTCATAGCAGCCATTTTGATATGAAATAGTAGGGTAAACACAGATGTTACCAATGATACTAATTAAGGTTCTGTTCCATTCAGGTCAAACAGAGTCAATAATTTACCCATTTGCCCAGTGTCCCTGTTGGACAGTCCGTGATAACAGGTTTTGGATTTGGTCTCACAGGCACTATGGTACAAATCACTGTGACAATAAGACCCTGTCTCGCTGTGCACAGTCACTGAACCCCACAGTTTCTGTACATAACCCCACAAAATGTGTTTTTTATGAGTTTTAGAGTTGTTGGTAGGTGTATATTTTTTAGTTTGGACACAGAGCCAGACTAGCTGTTCCAGTCCTCTTTCTTTGTTAATGTTAAACAAATAGCTGCATAGCAAAGCTACCGATATAACACCTGCTGCATGCTGAGCTCTTGCTGTCTTTGTTACCTCTCCTCACAGTCAATGGGTTTCTTGAATGGCCTAAAATAAGGTCTGTGGTTATTACAAGCTTAAGAGATTTTCACGTAGTTTTTTTCTATGACATAAAATACTCCACCTGTGAATTTTGAAGCTTTTGTCTCTTAAAAAAGGTAGTTGCTAACAAATGGCTAAATGAGACTACAGAGGTTGTTGGTGACATTTCAGACAAACAGACTTATCACTAGTCTGCCCTTACAGCCTTATGTTTATACTTGCGTTCTTGCAAACTATTCTAACTCCAATTTTAGTAGTTTACGGTAGAGTAGCTTGTTTATATCCTTAGCGTTAGCAATTTACTTTTGGCGACTGCATCTACGCTTCAAAACTCATAAAAGTGGTGTTCATTTGTGAGATTATCTTGCTGATCAAAACATGTAAGTATCATAAACTTTGCAAGTTTATTTTTTGCAATAATCCAAAGTCCGATGGAAAAATCCTATTGACTTTTTGTTGAAGGAACCAGGGTAATGCTAACTTCTGGGTTAGACTACAAAAATAGTCTGTGCACTCTATATACTGAGCTATATGGCTCAGTGGCAGGGGTGGTTCAACGTAGAGTCTGTAGCACACCCACCACCCTGTGCTTTTCATTATTGTAAAAAGAAGTTGAACAGATATCAGAGATTCCTGAGACTACATCATAAAGAAAGATGCATGTCTCTTATCTTTCTCACTTGGAGATGTATTGAGTGGGCAGCTGGACTGACACCTTAGGGAGAAACAAACTGCATTTTGCAGCTGGTTCTGGTCTCAGTCCGTGTTGTTCTCTCACTAAGACCTGCTCCTTTAGGGAATTGCTACATGTCTTAGTTTGTGGCATGCTGTGACTGATAGTAATCCACAGCTGAATCCCTTTTCAAGGAAAGAATAAAGCCTATACAGGTGATCAGTACATCGTAACAGGCGCTGAGATAATTGGAATGGTCCAAATTCAGGCAAAATGCTTCATTTGTAAACTACATGTAGACAGTGGTCAGTGGTTCTGATGCTTTCAGTATTAAGATGTCAACTTTAAAGAGATAGATAATGCTTACATAAGCTCAGATGGTAAAAGTTCACAGTCACAGATGAGAACTGGAGTGGACAGTGGGCAGATTAAGCACACGGTATGCATATGAATGACTGAGTAAGCACATTAATGGGGCACTCCACTGATTTTACACAGCAACATTAGTTTGGTACTATCCTATTAGCACGTGAAAACAGTTGTACAACATCTGAGGGTCTGGAGGAGCTTTGTCAGCATGTGTTACAAACTGGGGCTGTGGAGTATTAAAGATCCAGGCATTTACTAAGGAAGGAAGGTC